CAGCCGTGGGGAAACAGGCGGGGGGGGCTGGCAGCTAGCTGAAAAGCCTCCCCCTCGGCCGGACTTCTCCGAATAGGCCACTGTGCGGGGACCATTTACCTGCCATGGCGTAGTTCACTGTCCATGTCCCAAGCTCAGAGAGCTAAACTGGGCAACAAACTGGCAGGTGAAATTCAGTGCTGCTAAGTGCAAAGTAATGCAGCTTGGAAAACAGTCCCCACTGGACATGCAAAGTGATAGCTGGGGGCTAAACGAGCGGTTACCCCTCAAGAAAGACGCTGGTATCTCTGAAAACATCGGTTCTAGCTACAGTGACAGACAACTGGCAGCCACCATTAGGCAGAGGCTAGCTAGTAAAACAGAAAACGTCACACTGCTGCTGTACAGACCTGGGGCACACCCACACCCCCAACAGTGACACCCCTTCGCAAAAAGCCGTATTGGAACAGGTCCAAAGAAGGTCAGTACAAATTATTACAGGTGTGAGCCGTGTGAGGCGAGATTGAAAAGACTGGGATTGTTCAGCTCCGAAAAGGGGCAGCTAAGAGGGGAAATGACAGAGGTCTAGAAAATCATGAATGCTGTGGAGAACACGAGCAAGGACGTGTTATTTACCCCTCCCCATAACAGAAAAACAGAAAAAAGGGGACTTTTGTCAACAAAGCTATACCTGCGTCTACACTGCCGCTGAGTAAACTCAGCAGTTGTGTCGATGTCTGTAAACCTCATTCTGCGAGGAATAACGTCTTTTGTCGACAGAGTTCTGTCAACAGAAGGCGTTATTGCATCTACACTGTCCTTTGCGTCTACATTGTCATGTCGACAAAGCGGCTTGCTTTGTCGACAGAACTGGATGTCGTCTAGATACTCTTTGTCGACAGAAGCTTTCTCGACAGTAGCTGTCGACAAAAGCCTGTAGTCTAGATGTACCCCAAGATACATTCCAAAACACGAGGACTGATAGCAAAACAACTTATAGCGGGAAATTTAATTCCTGCAGCCAACTTGCATTTGCACAAACCGTTTGGGGTTGGGGTTTTTTTTTTTTGGCGCGCGACTTAGCGGAAAACGGGAGGACCAGTCCCTACAAGCATCAACGACTGTAGTGTGGGACGGATGTATAGCAGGGCGACTGAAAGCAGGGACACCCTGTAGTGTAGACCTGGCCTGTGATTACAGCAAGTAGCATTGTGCTCTAATAGCCCAGCCTATCTGGATCAAAATCTCCATGTCCAACTTTCTCCCATGGACAGTTTATTTATGCTTTGGATCCAAGTGGCCAGCGCTGAACCACGACAACTGTGCACTTAGCCTGTTGTTACCCTTCCGTACAAACGCTCTGTGATAATCCAAGAGTGCCTGACGGCAACCCTCTGCCAACAAGTACAACACGTGCAGGGAGGAGTGGGGGGGTGGATTGACGGGGCCAAGGCCGGGGTGGTAGCTGGAACAGCAACCTGGCTGAGGTCACACTAAAGCAGGATGCAGGAAGCAGGTGGGTCCCTGGGCAGAAAGTCAGCTGGGGAAGTGAGCGCCCAGATGCGGGTTGGGATCTGCCATTTGGGAACCGCTGCGCTCCACGCCCAGCAGTCACTGCACGCTGTAGAGTTGCTCTTTGGGGCTGGCAGGAAAGGACACATCTCACGGCCACCTTCTCTCACGGTGACCTTCTCCTACCCGTTCCCCCTCGGGCACAGCTGCTCACCTGCATAAATACCGCCTGCTGCTCAAAAGGAAGTGGTGGACACTTTCTGTCTGGCCCCCAGGTGACGAGGCCTTGCAACTGGCTCACTAGGGAGGAACAGGCCAGGCCCCCTCAGCTGGGCTACCAGAGAGCACCCACTGGAACGTGTTTTTCTCTCCTCCGCCGTCCCCACCGCCAGCGTGACCTCGTTTCGCCCCCTCCTGCTCACCAGGCTGGCGTGGGCGCTGACACCTGTAAAGCAGCGCTTGCATTTTTCATGTGTGCCCCACCCGTAAAAAAGGCTCCTGCACTACCAGCCGCTGCCTGGGATTTTCAGGAGCCGTTGCTTCCGGGTGTTTAATTGCCCCAGACCCGGGCCGGGCCACCCCACCCCACAGCTCAAGAAAGCACAGTCTGTTCCCTGTGAGCACTGGCGCAGGGAAATGCAGAGCACTGTATTCCCCATGCGTGGGCCGGTGGGCAGAGGGCTTGGCTCATACAGAAGTGATGAAAATGGCTGCTGGCCAATATTTTAGGGGCGGCTTTGTGGGTGCTCACAAAAGGGAGGGAGACCGTGGAAAAGTGCCCCCCAAATGAGCCCTACTGGGTTTAAAATAAGCTAAGCTAAGTAGGAAAAGATGCTTCCTTCCACCAACACCGCCGCCTCTCCCCCTCCAGCATGACCTACTTGCGCACGCCAATATAGTCCAGATCCTGTTGTTCCAAGTTCTGTTCCCAATACCCTCAGCTAACGCCAGGCACTCACCATCGTCCACGCCCTCCGCGTAGAACTAGTTTTGTCTCTATTCAGTCGTAGGGTCTAGCGACGTTCCGAACAGGCGTGTGATTTGTTACCGACGTGGTTCTAGGCGTGCAGCGGCCGTCGCATTGCCCTGGTACTGCTCATTCCCTTCCCAGGCAGGGAGTGTCTTTATGGTACTGCTCCTCTCCTTCCCAAGCCGGGAGTGTCTTTATCCCTGGATCGTTGCAGCCATGCTAGGGATTTCGCTCACTTCAGCTACACCCGTACGGTTAACGCAGACAAGCCCTAAGAAACCTCTCCCGCCACCGACAGTCCCTCTCATCTTTTCCATCCACGCGGGTGAATAGAATCACAGAAGGGAAGGGACCTCAAGAGATCATCAAGTCCAGCCCCCTGCTCTCATGGCAGGACCCAGCACCATCTAGACCATCCCTGACCAGTGTCTGTCTAACCTGCTCTGAAATATCTCCAGAGATGGAGATTCCACAAGCTCCCCAGGCAACTTATTCCCGTGTTTAACCGCCTGGACAGCTATGGCAAACGTTGGGGTGGCTATAGCCCCACAACGCCCCCTCCCCTCCCCCAGCACCACTCCTGGCAACCGAGCCCAGTGCTGCAGCAGAATGAGGGCCAGTTGTCGCAGCCAGCCAGTAACTAGAACAACTGGATGTCGATTTTAGCAGCATCCTGCTAGAATCCTTCAGCTGCCCCCACAGCCTACTAGGGGCAGCCTGCTGTCCGCCCCCCCCCATAATGGCCCTGAAATCATCATGCACCTTTGTTCCTTGCCTTGCTTCAAATCATTTTCCCTCCCCCCCCTTACTCCCAGCCAGAACAGCAGAAAGGGCCCCCGGCAATACCCTTCCCCCGCAAACCGAGGAGGAGCCGGGGAGGCCTTTGAATGACACAGGAGATTAAAACTTTACACTGTTGACTTTAAAGTAAGATAAACAGTGAAAACTTGGCAAGTGCTAGGGTAAACAACTCCCTCTCCCACCACTCATTCCTCAGGCCCAGCTCATGGTGGGGGAAGCACACGCCAAAGCCATAGCACCCTGACCTTCCCCAGGGGGAATGAGCCTGAATGCTAGACAGCCAGATGGAACGGGGATTGGAACAAGCCCCTGGCGGCCCTGCCTGCGAGGGAGCCGAAAGCCCCCGCAAAGGGCTCTCCCTCCAGGGCACGAGGCATGACTCAGTCATGGTGCTTGGAGAAAACAAAGGGTTGGGGGTTTCCACCAGACGATGAAAACGTTTAGGGTGAAACCGAGCCCCGTGCAGCATGAGCACGAAGCCACGGTGGCATCTAGCCCCCACGTACGTCCTCCATGCAAGATGCGTGCCGCTCTCTTCACAGAGAGACGCTCACTACACGGCCACGTCTACACGAGGAAACTGTTTCGAAATAACTACATTCGACCTAACTCCCGCTATAACACATTCGAAATGGCACGTCCTCACTACGAGGAAGCCTCGAAATGAGTCCTGAGGCAGGCTCCGTTAATGTGGACGCGCTACCTCAGTCTCGGGGCCCCAGGAAACCCGGGGGAGCCATTCGCTGGAATGACTCTGGGGAGTTGGTATTTTGAACTGGCGCGTCCCCACTACCGCTATTTCGAAGTAACTCTTTCGGAATTGGTGCTACTCTGATGAAAAGCAGGGGCACAATTTCAAATTAAGCGGTAGTGTGGCAGCTCTGCTTAGAAATTCAACCTAAGGGGGGTTTGTTCAGTAAAGTCCTAGCATGGACCGCAAAGGTAAAGGGAAAAATGCCTCCCTTCCATCTGAAGAAGTGGGTCTGGCCCACGAAAGCTCATCATCTAATAAACCATCTTGTTAGTCTTTAAAGTGCTACATTGTCCTGCATTTTGCTTCCCTTCCATCTGTGCTAGACAGCATTGCCAGATGGTTTAACAAAAAATACTGGACAACTTCTCCCTCCCCCCTGAAAAAAAACACAGGGAAAAAATTCTGTTGAGAAAAAAAAAGGAGAGAGACCAAAGTTGTCAAGCAAAAAAAAGGGGGGGAGGAGAGCAAAGTTGTTAAGCACTGCGCCTTTAAATAGCCCTGTACTCCTCACTCCCCCACTCCTGCCAGACGCGGCAGGGGAAAATTGTCCCCGCCAGGCTTCCGTCCAAGGGAAACAGGAAATACCAGACGTTTCACGTGTCCGGTTTTTTCTTTTTCTTTACCGGACGGGACAGGGAACCCGAAT